TTGGGGTTTCTGGAAAGCATAAAGTAAAAAAAAAAATCCTAGATCTGTTATTCAGCCAGTCATCCAATAAATGTTTATGGCAGGTACTGTGCTGAGTGCTGGAGACATGAGAAGGGCAAAAAAACAAACAAACAAACAAACAAAAAAACATCTAAGGCACTTAGAAGAATAACCCCCACTTCTACTATACTTTATAATTTGCAAAGCACTATGCTCAAAACAGCCTTGCCAGGTAAGTAATGCAGATAGGATCCCTATTTTGCAGACGAGGAACCCAAAGGCTGAAGAGTTAGTGACTTCCCCAGGGGCTGGTGAGTGGTGAGGATCAGAACCAAGACTTCAGCTCACGTCTCCTACCGCCAAGGTAAACGCTCCTAGTGGAACCTGAGACTGTCCATCCTTTCTTTGCTCATCCACAAGCCTAGTGCCTCTTCCCAATCCCACTGAGCCTCACTCTACCTGAAGCAAAACCAGACCAGAAGAGAGCAGAGGAGGTCTAGTGTTCCTAATCTTCTCATATTTCCACTCAGTTACTTCTAATGAGGTGAGACAGGTTTTCCCCAGGGCCTGAACCACTGTATAGAAAGTTTATTGTAGGGGCAACTAGGTGGTGCAGTGGATAGAGCACCGGCCCTGAAGTCAGGAGGACCTGAGTTCAAATCCAGTCTCAGACCAAACACTTGACATGTACTAGCTGTGTGACCTTGGGCAAGTCACTTAACCCCGATTGCCTCACTAAAAAAAAAAAAAAGAAAAGAAAAGAAAGTTTGTTGTGAAGGGAAATACATTAGGTTAACTTAGAGGAAACTAGCCGAGGAAGTCATGGAAAGCACTGAATTCTCCAATTCTCTCCCTCCCACATCCCCAACTCCCTTCTCCAATCTTTCAAGGCCTAATTCAAGTCCTTGCCGTTCCAAGAATCTTCCTGGACCACACCAGCACATAGTGATCTATATTCTCTGAACTGCTATATAATTTATTTGTGCTCATTTACATACAGTTTGTATACTTTCCTGTATTGTCTTATTTCCTAATTACTCTTTTGTAGATCTCCCTAAGCTGTATTGGGACAAGGACCATATTTCATTTATCTTAGCATCTTTGTATCATATATTGTACCTTGGGCAATACATAGGTGCTTTTAAAAATGTATACATATAGAAACATATATACCTACACACCATCTTAATATACCCAATCTGTGGGCATATTATGTTGTATAAACCCAATGTCAAATTCACACACACATACAAATATATACATATACAAAATACACATACATATACAGACATACACACCTACTTATATGTATATGTGTGTGTGTGTGTATATATATATATATATATATATACACACACACACACATATATATACAGACATAGTTATAGATATAGGCAGCTAGGTGGCACAGTGGATAGAGTGCTGGGCCTGGAGTCAGGAAGACCTGATTTCAAATCTGGCCTCAGAACTTACTAACTCTATGACTCTGGACAAGTTGCTTAATCCTGGTTGCCTCAGTTTCCTCATCTGTAAAATGAACTGGAAAAGGAAATGGCAAAACTCTCCAATAGCTTTTCTAAGAAAATCCCGAATGAAGTCACAAAGAGTCAGACATGACTGCAAAATAAGCAATGCCATTTTGGGCATGTGTCCTCCCTTGGTGGGTTTTCTTGTGTCTATAACTTGTTTTCCATGTGTTGGGTTTATTACTGAGAGAAGGTGGTATGTGCTGGGCTGCACTACAAACTTCCTGAGGTATTTTGCATAATAGCAATAACAGCAAGCATTTTTATAATTCTTTAAAGTTTTTGAGGCATTTTACATGTGTTAACTTATTTGATCATAGAGAAGATTTAAAGATTGAACAGCAATGACTGTATTGCAAGGTTAGCAACAGTTGTGTTCTTGACAACGCCTTCTGAACCAGTGCCCCCTCCCTAAGTCCTGCTTGCATAAGAGGCCGGGGCACCTTGACAGTGAGGTCCTTCTTGTTAACACCAATTGGTCACAATTAAGAATTGACAAAATGTATTTGAAAATTTGTCACCCTCTTCCTTTTAGCATGTGTGGGGAAACCCAATTTAGTTAGGGCATATCTAATCAATTTATCTTTCCTAGTTAAATATTATGGATACTCTCTAATCGTTTTTTATTCCTTTCTTTAAAATTGAATTCTCTTTTTCAGAATGAAGCAATACATATAATGAAACACCATTTAAATATAAGGAATGACTGTAATTTGTTACCAATCATGAGTTAAATGTGAGAAAGGAAATAAAGGCTATTTCTAAAGACATGTCTGACTGAAAACAGAGATAGGCTAGTCGCAACAAGAATTAGAGACAACAAATGGACAAAGTGGTACCCTGGCATCCTTGAGGTACAAATAGAATGATGAAAGTCCTCATTATGGTGAGGACATCTGTAGAGGATATGTGAAACAACATGGATAACAGTCGCAAATAGAGGTGTGCTGGTAAATGTTTAACAACCAGCCCTCAGGGGTTGGGGTTGGGGGGGGGGATGCATAGTACACTTTTCAATTTAATATTCATTGTTAACATTTTCTCCATCCCTTTCTTAGGTCTAAACAATCAATAAAACAATAAATCAAGCTCTGCTGTGTGGTGTTTGTCAATTCTCATCAAGATATAAATGCTCTCCCTGAAAATTTAACAATTAAGCTGTCTCAAGCACAACCCCATAAAAGATGAGAAGGTGTGGCAGGGTTGTGATCCAAGGAGGAGGTGCCAACCCATAGCAAGGAAATCAGGAATTATTGTGAGTATGATATTGGTCTGAAGAGATATACCTCTTAAGGGAATTTTTTTAAGGGAAAAATATGTGAATACACTGAAGATAATAGCCATTCTAGGAAGTACACAAATTTTATACAAGTCACATATAGGAAAACATGTGACCTACATTTGAACCAGTATAGTATGCAAAGTTAGAAAAAATTGCAGTCTTTTTTTGTTATTAATTCAACAATCACGCACTATGCTAAGGAGTAAGGATACAAAGACAAAAGTGAAACAATCCCTGCTGCTTTTGGTGGGAGGAGGTCATTGCTAAAAAAAAAAAAAAAACAACAAAAAAAACCCAACTATGTTCTCATCATCAATTGGTTTGAAAAAGTTGAAGTGACTAGGCACTACTTGATATAGAGTAAAAAAAAAAAATCCAAGGGTAAGCGTCTTTGTTGTTGTTTTTGTTTTATTAAATAAACCAATTCCCTGTGAACCTCAATGACTTTGCTAATTGCGTCAAGATGTTGAGTATTTTAAGCATGTTGTAAAATCCCAGCATGCAGACCAAACAAAGCTCATTAGCTAGTACTATGCCATGGAAGTTTAATTTTAAAATATATTAAATGCAAAAGCTCATGGCAAGGCAAGTCTTCAAGTTAAACCCACTACCATCAAAAAAAAAAAAGCAAAAATGAGTATAAAACTAGTTACTCTGATACGCGTTGGATCTCTCGAGTTTGTCTTGGGAGGAAAGGTGCACAGATAGAAGACTAGTAGAAGCACTGAGTTGGAAGCCATTGCATCTAGGTTTCAGTTTAGTCTCTGCTGTTAACTTGTTGTATGACCTTGTTCAAGTCACTTACTTTCCTTCTCTAGACTTGAATTTTCTCATCGGTAAAATGAATGGTTTGGACTAGATGATTGCTCAGTTTTATTTCCATCTCTGATATGTTATATTCTAAGACCCCTTTCACATTCTGTGTTCTACTGTTATGTCCTTTCCAGGTCTAAACTGGTATACTCTAAGGATGTAGTGGGATAGGACTCAGAAAAGAAAGAGAAGAAAGAAACTCAGAGCAGGGGTATGCTAGAGCCAGCTCAAACTGACTCACTAGAGTCCATTGTTGAATTTTCAGTATGAGCATTTACACCTTGGAAATTGACAAACCTACAAATTAGAGTTTGATTTGTTGTCGTGTTGATTGTCTAGACTTAAGAAAGTGATAGAGAACATGTTACTAATGCAGATTAAACTTAAACCTATATTAAAATGTATCTTGTGTACATTTTTTGGTGGAGACCTGGTTGTTAAATATTTAGCAACACACCCCTGCTTGGAACTGAGAAATAGATATGAGACTTTTTCTGAAGAGGACATAGCTTCCTCTAAGGCAGAAGCAACTGTTTATGCTCCAGTAAACAATTGATATGGATCCCCAGGTATGATATATGGGATAGATAATCTAGTAAAGATTGAAGGAAGAAGAGAGAAGTAGTAGTGTTCAATGACTCCCTATTTAGGCTTATTGAATCAGTTATTTGTTAATCCAATAGTAACAATAGAGAAACAGGGTGTCTTCAGGGACCATGTATCCAAGATAGGAACCATTTAAGACTAACAACTATTAGCTACCTCTGGTGATCTAACTGGGCAAAACTGACATTCCCAGAAAATGTGGTTAAAGATTATGAAGTCTTGGGGGAGAAACTGAAAGTTTTAGGAGAGAAGGTGATGTTTTCATCACTGCTACCAATATAAGACAAAAGAACAGAAGACAAAGGTAGATTTAGGATATGAACAGCGGTAAAGAAGAGCATGTTTAGATGAGTAGGATGCTTTTATAAAAACCTGGAGAGACTTGAGATGAACTGACACAAAGTGAAATGAGCAGAACCAAGAGAACATCATACAGAGTAACAGCAATGTTCAACGATGATCAATAGTGAATGACTTAGTTTTTCTCAACAATACAAAGATCTAAGACAATTCCAAAGAACTTAATGATGAAAAATGCTATCCACCTCCAGAGAAAGAACTGATAAAGTCTGGATGCAGATTGAAACATACGTTTTTTTAGCTTTATTTTTTGTGGGGATTTTTTTTCCATCTGTGTTTTCTTTCATGACATGACTATCATGGAAATATGTTTTTCATGACTGCACATATATGACCTATATCAAATTGCTTGCCTTCTCAATGAGGGGGGAGGGTTGAGAAGGAGAGAAAATGGTACTCAAAATTAAAAAAAAATGGATGTTAAATGTTTTTACATGTAATTGGAAAAGAAATAAAATATGTACTAAAAAAGAGAATGTTTGAGAATGGGATTTGGATTACCTTTTAACACATAGGAAAGATGGGTTCTTAGCCAGAAATGGAGTGAACCTCAAAATGGCTGGTAGAAAAAAAATATTTGCCAGGAATCTTGCAAATTTAATCAAAAGGGCTTGAAAATGAAAAGGAAATAAGAAAATAGAGAGAACATTCTCTCAAACTAGATACCTTCGAAAGAAGCTATAACGTAGAAAGAATAGTGTTAGAGGTACTAGGAAATTCACAACAGAAAAAAACAAACAAACTAAAAAAGGAGCATACAACAAAACCCATTGTCTCAAGTGTCTATTCACAAATGTGGAAGGTATGGGTAACAAGTAAGAACTAGAACTAGAGATTCTAACCCAAGGAGGAAAGGTTGGCACCAAAAGTATTACTGAGACTGGTTGGATAGGACTCACACATTGAATATGAAAATTGAAAGGTATGCCTTATTCGAAAGGCACAAGATAGGTAAAGAGTAAGTATGTGGAGTGGTATTGTATATTAAGAAGATAGATAAATGTTATGGAATTCATGGAGGCATTGTATTGTATAGTAAGAAAATAGATTCATGTTAGGAAGACAAGGGGAAACACAGTGGACAATATTTGGGCAAAAATCATCTGAGGCAAAAACTGAAGTGATATTGTCATCCATGTATACACACACACACACACACACACACACACACACACACACAGAGTATCCCAAAAGTCTTAGTGCAATTTAAAATTTTAATAATAGCTGAATTTCTTTAATAATAATAAGATAAATTTATATGTAATATATGTACATCATATGTGCATATTATATATGTAATATGTTATGCATGAATATAATGTATTCATAGCAGTGACGAAAATAACATCTGTGCTCCTAAGGTCTTCAGTTTCTTTCCTAAGATTTCATAATGTTTACTATCTGTTTTATATATACATACATAATACATATATGTGTGTATAGACACATCATGATAGATACATATGTATATATACATGTATGCGTAGTATTTATGTATATCTATATCTGTATTTCTATCTATCTAAAAAAAGACCACCTAGAAAGAAAGAAAGAAAGAAAAGGAACTAGATGAGGAATTCTGAGAAAAGATCACTGTGTTTTACACTATGTGTCAGAGGACAGACAAGTCAGGCACAGTTTGACATGCACTCCAGATTTTCAGAGAGTAGATTTCAAAAGATTCAGTGATGGATAGGTAGGATCCCATTGCCTACATTTCTAGAGGGAAAATAGGTCAATGAGTGATGAGAAATAAGAACGAAAAACCATTTTGATGAGGACAAAAGGGAAAAGTTGTTCAGAGATCAGATATTTACTCTCCAGTCTAAAGGAACCTTAGAAGTCCTCTTTCCCTCGCCTTCCTCAGGGGCCAGTTAGTCCAATCCATACCTGAACAATAATCTTCTCTACACCCTACACAATGGTCAAAGATCATCCAACTTTGCTTGAAGACTTCTAAAGAAGGGAGAACCTTATTCCCCAAGGACATCCATTTTCCTTTCATATAGTTCTAATTTTTAGGAAGTTTTCCTCACATGTCAAGCCTATTTGTCCTTTTGCAATTCCCATCTTTTGTCCCTCGTCCTGCCCTCTGGAGCAAAGGAAAACAAATCTAACTTTTCATTTGTTCCTTACTTCAAATGCCATTTCTCTCTTCTGTATAGTCTTTGGATCCAAAGAACATATTGAGTCTTCATCTCATATTTTTGGGAGATAGGAAGGAGGGAGAGTTACCCACCTTGTCTGAATCAACTCCATTTCCACGAGCCTGTTAAGTTCAGCAAAGACACTTGGAGCTAAAGAGCACAAGGCAGAAGCATTAATTGCATGTACCTGAGATAACATGGCGGGAAGAGGTGGAGAAACATGATGGAGAAGAAAGGGCCTGGGAAGAAGAGGCTTTCCAGACAGCTGGCCTTTGGTGGGTATTAAATGTGGTACCAGGGCTAAGTTTGAGATGAAAGTGCTTCCAGGGGTTCTTTCAGCAGCTGGCATGTGGTAAAGCCAAGAATAGTTCTTTGATCTCTTAATTGGCCCTTATGCCACACAGAAGTTCCCCACAGCCTGCACTTATCCCTCCACCCCTCCATCTGCATCCGTTTTCCTTTCTACCCTGCTTCCTCCTAGCAGCAGCTCATTTTCATCTAGGGAGAATGTGGATGTAATAATATTACATAATAATAGTAATAATATGATAAAATAACATAATCTGCAAAGAACTTTACAATTTTCCAAGACCTTTACATGCCTTTATTTCATTTGATTCTCACAAAACCCCTGCGAGGGTCATTATCCCCATTTTATTAATAGTAATTATTTATATGTGTATTAATAATTAATAATAGCAATTATAGATTAATAATAATATTCATAATAATAATAGTTACTTTGTGTTGAATTCTAGATTTAAGAGTCAGGAGTAGCAGATAGAGAGCTGGATTTGGAGCCTGAAGGACCTGGGATCAAATTTTGCCTCTGACGTAACTGGCCATCGAGGAGCCTCTCCTTGGTCTAGCCAACTCTACAGGACCATACACTGCAGAGAATGTACCACCTTGAATTGGTAATCGGGGGTTTCCTCTTGCAGAAGCTCTGTAGGCTAATGACCAGGGGCAAGCCTAAGCCTCGGTTTCCTCATCTGTAAAAGGGAGCAGGTATTTTTACTCTAAGATCCCCTTGTACTTCTCGATTTTATGAAATCTGTGAAGGAGGTAACACAAATATTATCTATCCCATTTTAGAGTCAAAGAAACTGAGATTCTGAAGGATTAAAGGGCTTGGCTCAGGCACATGACTGGCAAGTGGTGGATCCTAGATTCAAAGTCTGGGTCTTCTGAAACAAGTCCCTTGCTGGTTCCACAGCAGCACACTCAGACATGAAAATCATGCGGCCACTGCTATAGAGCTGTTGTTTGTCCTTCATTCTCGAAGAGGATCATGGCATCAAGGAAGGTGATGCCATGACTTGCAAGTGAATTGGACTTAAGTGAGGGAGGGCTGTGCAAAGTCACCAGCCTCACTTTCTTCTCTGGGGCCATCTAGGTCCAGTGAGGAGATATACATCAGGATGACTGGAGATGGCCCCCTAAAGAGCACTAAGACTTTTGGGGACACCCTGTGTATGAATTAGTCTCCAGACTATTTCACTTTCCAGTTGCTCCAAGAACACATCATAGAAATAACTCTCATACAGATGGAATCCTAATAAAGCTACCCCCAGCCTCAATATTCTAACTTCCTTATGGGCCCCGCTGAACAGTAGGCATATCCTGATTTGACTTAACCACATCACAGGCCCCAAACTCTACACCATTGATCCCAGGCCTCTAACTAGCCATTACCCCTAGCTAGCCATTGCCCCCTAGACTCAATCCTCCAGCTAGCCTCTTCTGTGGGAAATATTCACATATTTCCCACAGAAACAGGTGTGTCCATGCACTCAACCTCAACCACATCATCCATCTTGACCAGACAAGACCACAATAGCTAGCCAATCAGAAAGCAGCACCACTAGGATGTAGGGCAGGATGCCTGACCACCAAACCATGGAAGGGACCCACCCTAAGGTGGCCTCTGTGCAGTAATAGTAAAGAACTGACCTAGAGTGAACTTATGATATGGAGAGGCTCATTATAATATCATTATCATACATACATACCCCCCCAAATGAGTTTTTCTGTATGCACTGTGGGTAACTGCAAGCACAGTTCTACTAAGGTTGGGACCCCTCCTCCATTACCTAATCCTTTAACAAATTCCTCTTGCCTTTTTAATATTAATCATATTCCTACAGTCTATGTAAATTTTGATTGTATAATCAGCATCATATTCTCTATAAAATTGTATGTCTTGCCTTACTAAAGTTGTTAATTCCTCTAAGGAACTTAGCCACTCACCAGCGCGTGAAACCTCCAAACCTTAATAATTCTTTCTAGCTGGCTTGGAGTTGGCCTGAGTCTTTGTAATTCTTTAGATACTTCCCGCCACAACTCTACCTGACCCTCATCAATGTGAGCTGGCATACTTGTCAAAGGTGTTGAGGAGAAGAAAAAGGAAAAGGAAGATAGACATATGTGCAGACTGAACAATAAGGGAAAGGAGGGAGAAAGATGAACAGAGGGTGGGTGGGAGTGGGAGAGTTACTTGCAACAGGGAGACCAACCAACGGGCTTTTGTAAATAGTTCAGGTGTCAGGTGATGATGCCCTGCACCAGGGTAATGGCAGAGGAGAGAAGGAGGTATAAAGGAGAGATATTGCAAATATAAAATCGACAGTACTTGGCAACAAATTGGATATGGCGGGTGCTGAGAGAAAATGAGGAGTTGAGGATGACATATTTTCATTCTTTGATAGAAGATTTAATTTTGAGAATCCACATGATGTTCTTTGGGGCCAAAATTAATGAACGACACAGAGAGACAGAGAGAGAGACAGACAGAGACAGATTCAGAGAGAGAAGAGAAGAGAAAGAGAGACAGAGAGAGAGAGAGGGAGAAAGCAAAGAGAAGAAAGAAAGAAAGAGAAAGGGAGAGAGAAAATGAGACAGAGAGAGAAAGAGAAAAGAAATAGAAAGGCTGAAGAGATAAACAAAGAGGAAGTGAGAGAATAGAGGAAGAGGAAGTAGGTAGAGAATTCCCATCCCCCAATTTAGAACATGAATTAGAATAGCAATAGAGCTCTGGGCAAGAAATTGTAATAATTGACTAAAATATCTAGAAAAGCGTGGTGAAAGGTTGGGAGTAACAGTAACTCTACTGAGTGAGGGAAGAAGAGGAAAAAGAGAATTTTAAATTTAAAGAGAGCCCTTTGAAAAACTAGAAACAAAAGACAGGCTGAAAAGGACCCCTATTTTATGGTTGTGTGCTCCAAAAGGCAGGCTAGCACATGCATGTGTACATGCATACATACAACCACTCAAGCTAGTTCATGTAGTCCAATCCCATCATTTGAAAAGTGAAGAAACTGAGGCTCAGCACGGGAAACAATTTACCCAAGACCACATACAGGAAGATAATGACAGAGCTAAGATAGCAACATAAGTTTCATAAAAACTAAAGAGCTGGAAGGAAGCTTAGAGACCATCCAGTCCAAGCCAGGGTCCATCCCCACCCTCACCTTCTCATTTTACAAAGGAGGAAACAGACCAAGAGAAGGGAAGCCAAGATCTTCTGAGTTGTAAGTCAGTTCCAGAGCAGAGACTGGAACCCAGGTCCTTCCACTCCAGAGCTATTGTTCTTTCTATTGTACCACACCATATGAGGGAATAAAAATTTAGTAACAGACCTTTGAAGACTACCTTCAAGGCTACCTTCACAATTGTTTAGTGGAAAGGGGGCATTGTTTTAGTTTAGTGGAAAGTGCATTGTTTAGTGGAAAGTGCATTGTTTAGTGGAAAGGGTGTTGAACTGGAATCAGAAGGCTTGGAATGAAACTCTGCTTCTGCTGATGGGATATGGGCCCAACCTGAGACCTTTGCCCCTTACCCCAGAAAGAATTTGGGTCCCATTTGTTTACAGGATTCTCCTTGAAATCTCCCACTTAAGCAAGAATTCTCCCACTTGATCAAGTAAGTCTCTGGAGTTCCCCTGAGGCTATAATCCTAGCAACTGGCCTTCCAATCTCCCAGTTCTCTGTTACCATTAACCTAGCCCAGCCCTCCATCGTCTATTATCTCCCTATGGCCCCTGGCTACCTCCCATCCTTGACCCTATCTAGACCCCATTCTCAACCTCCTAGTCACTCTCATATAGATCCTTCCTAGATCCCTCCCACAGTCTTTCTGTATATAAGGTCCATCTTATCTCCATTAAAATGCTGAGTTTCCTTAAGAACCTTGCCAATAGCTCACAAATGTTCAGATGCCTTAATGGTGGATCTTTAATAAATATGGTGGATCTTTAATAAATATGGTGGATCTTTAATAAACATTGTCTCTGACTGAAAGAAGGCTTGGATCGAATTCTTCTGGTCCTTGGGCAGGACCCGCATCTCTTACTCTGGATATTTTGGGGTCTCAGCACCCCTAAACCTCTAGACCTCAACACTGCCACTTACTAACTATATGACTCAGTCTTATAAATCATTTTATTCCTCCATGTTTCAGTTTCCTTATCTATAAAATGGACATAATAATATTTAACCCTCACTTAATAGGTAGCTGTGAGGATCAAGTGATAGAATGTTTTTTAAACAA